GGGGGTGGAGAAAAGGGCAACAATGAACGAATGGAAGTCCAAAATCTCTGTAGATGTTCATTGAAATTAATAAAAAAAAAAAGTAAAGAAAAAGAAATGTCAGAATCAATGCCAGTCCATACAATATTTTAACATGTGATTATGTCAATATTCTTATCCTGGTAACTTCTCACTCCTCTTCCACACTTTGTCCTGCAACAGTGATGGGTTGTATGTATCACCAGTGATAATTTGTGATGATTTGTTTGTGTGTGTCCTCTGATCATATATAAGAAATTCCACAGCTATGAATGACTAGAATGCCCTGGCTTGATAAGGCCAATTCCCCTCACAAGAGATGATTGTTCTTGTTTTGTGTTGATCATACAGAAATTATTCTCTGTAGAGCATGTTTGAACTTGGGTTAGATTCTCCCCTCCCACCTTAGCACAATACCTATGTGAGAACCATGGCTTCAAAACTTTATACTTAAGATTTTTCAGAGAATAAACACTGTTGTTGTTGTTAGGTGCCATCAAATCACTTGTGACTCATAGCGACCTTTTGTCACTCTGAACCCTGCTCTATCCTGAGCCAGTCTTATTGTCTCTGACACACCTACCCCCCCATTACCACAGTCTCTGAATCAGTCTATTTCATCCAAGGTCTTCCTCTCTTGCGCTGTCCCTCCACCCTCCCAAGCATGATGTCCCTCTTCAAGGACTGGTCCCTCCTTACAACATACCCAAAGTACGTCAGGCTATGCTTCAAAATCCTTGCCTTCAAGAAGCAGCCTGGTTTCACCATCTCTGAGGACAAACCTGTTTGTTCTAGTGTCTATGGTATATTGAACACTTCTTCAGCACCACAACTCAAAGGCATCTGTTCTTCTGTCATCCTTAGTCATTGTCCAGCTCTCTGATACATAGCAAGTAATTGCAGACTATGGCCTGGATCAGGTACACCTTGGTCTCTAGACTTGACAACATTGCTCTTTGGTACTCTGAAGCAGTTGCTGACAGTAGATAATCTCATCTTTTGATTTCCTGGCTACTGGTACCAAGATTGTTGATTATGGAGCCAAGCAAGCTGTAGCTGTTAACAATTCCAATCTCTTCACCATCTATCATGATGCTGCCAATTGGCCCAGTGGCAAGGATATTTGTTTTCTTGATGTTGAGCTTCAGTCCATACTGAAGGCTGCAATCCTTACCTTTTTACAGGAAATGCTTCAAGTCCTCCTTAGTTTCAGCAAGCATTGGTGTGTCATCTGACTAACAGGTTGTTTAGGAGTCTATCTCCAATCCTGATGCCACACACTCCTCATGCAGCCCAGCCTCCAGGATGATCTGTTCTGCATACAGGTTGAAAATGTATGGAGATAGGATGCATCCCTGGCATATACCTTTCCTGGCTTTCCTTGCCTCCTGGTCCAAGTATAGGTTTTGCATAAACACAATCAAATGTTTTGGGATTCCCATTCCACTCAGAGTTAGCCACAGTTTGTTGTGAGCTACACAGTCAAGTGCTTTTGCATAGTCGATGAAACACAGACATTTTTCTGGCACTCTCCGCTTTCCTTTTAATATTGGTGTATTATAATATAGTGCCACAGCCTCTTTTAAACCCAGCATGCACATCTGGCAGTTTTCTGTTGATACCCTGTTCCAGTCATTTTTGGATCATTTTCTGCAGGATCTTGCCTGCATGTGATATTAATGATATTGTTTGAGAATTTCCACACTCTGTTGGGTCACCTTTTTTTTGGAATGGAAACAAATATAGATCTCTTCCAGTCAATTGGCCAAGTAGTTGTCGTCCAGATTTCTTGTCACAACTTGGTGAGCGCATCCAGGGCAGCATCTCTTTGTTGAAATATGTCAATTGTTATGCCTTCAATTCCTGGGATCTTGCTTTTTGCCAATTCCTTCAGAGCAGCTTCAACTTCCTCCTTCATCAACACAGGCTCTTGATCATATAATGTTGTTTCATTATATTTTTCTGTGTCAGCCAATTGTTTTTGGTATAGTTTCTCTGTGCAGGTACATTTCCCTCTTCTTTTGATGCTTGTTGAGTCATTCAGGATTCTGCCCACAGCATCCTTAAGTATTGCAACTCGAGGCCTGAATTTAGTCTTCAGTTCCTTCAGCTTAAGAAATGCTGAGGAAAAATAAATAAGAATCATGGAGATAAGTAGAGAAAGTGCTGTTTGAATGTGAAATTGTAATCAGTCATAAAACAAAAATGAATGTGAGTGGTTGACTAGAAAATTAATCTGCTCTACAATACAAAAAAAGAGAGAATGAAATAAATATACAACTTAGATTGAACGAAAAAAGAAATGCTGAGCAACTTCATCTCTTGATTTTCCAGCTCCAGCTCTTTGCACATTTCCTCTCTTCAGCTCCTTTACTTCTTGATTTCTTTCCTCTACTTTGGCTTCTTGGTGCTCTAGTGCAATATTCAAAGTCTCTTCTGATATTCATTTTGGCCTTTTCATCTTCCTCCGTCTTTGTAATGACCTTTTGAATTTTTCATGGATGATATTCTTAGTATCTTCTGACACCTCATATGGTCTTCACGCATTAGTATTCAAGGCCTCAAACCTCTTGCTGAGATGGCCTTTAAATTCAGGAGGGACAGTGACTAGGGATAATAGGAGAACTGATGCCTTTGAGCTGGAGTGATGGAGAAGTGTGTTGAATGCTAGGAGAACAAACAGGTTTGTCTTGGGGAAGGTGATAACAGGCTACTCCTTGGGGGCAAAGATTCTGAAGTTTCGCCTGACATACGTTGGGCATGTTGCAAGGAGGGACCAGACCTTGAAGAGAGACATACTTGAGAGGATGGAGGGACAGCACAAGAGAGGAAGATTCTCGATGAGATGGATTGATTCAGTGACTGCGGTAATGAAGGTAGGTGTGTCTGAGACAATAAGGTTGACATAGGATAGAGCAAGATTTAAAGCTGTTTTATGTGGGGTCGCTATGAGTTGCAAGTAACTCGATGGCACATAACACTCAAAGACAAACATTGGTTCTTGTGAATTTGATCTGATTTGATTTTCATAATGTGATCCACAATCAGCACCTGGCCTACTTTTCACAGCAGATATTGCGCTTCTCCAACTATTTTTCCCATATATGTAATCAATCTGATTTTTTATATTTGTCCATGTTTAAGGAAAGTACTTGCATAATGCTGGTTCGATTGAAAGCACGCCAACCCGCACAGCTTCATGGAGTGACCTAGAGGACGCAGTGCCTCCAGGGGCCGCCAGGGGCCGCCAGCGCCGCCAGCTCCCTCCAGCGCCACTCTGTGCGTCGGATCCGCGGGTGGACGAACAAGTGCGGCGCAGTGCATACTGGGTCGGCGCAGTTATGGCGGCTCGTGTCCTTTCCGCCTGCGTCCGGCGCCTGCCCGTGGCCTTTGCGCCGCTGTCCCAGGCCACCTCGTTGACCGCTGCTTGGCCACTGAGCACTGCCTTGTGCTCCGCGGGAATCCAGACGAGGCGTCGGGTTCCGCTTCCGGTCTCGATATTCGCACAGGTGAGTCGCGGTGACTTTGCTGGGGCCTGGCAGGGGTCAGCGATCGGGCACACTCGCGGCTGGGGGCGGGGACGGGGCTGAGACCGGTGGGAGTCGGGCCTTGGGCGGCAAGTCGGGGAAGCCGAGAAGGCCTCGGCCAGGCAGCGAGGTCGTGCGAGTCGTACACGGGGTGACCCCAGGGGCATCTGGCTCGCGTCCTGGCCGCGCTGCCATAACGGGACTTGGTAGATCTGTGCAGGGCAAGTGGACGGTCTCGTGGTTAAGAGCGGGAGGACAGTCTTTCATACCTACAGAGTCAGATGCTAGAATGCTGGCCGCCACTCTTGCAACCTGTGCAAGTCTTCTCACTTCTGGAAGGATCGCTCTTACCCTTAGGATCAAGATACCAAGATCTCCGACTTATATTGTACATATAATGAGAGTTAACACGTACTGGTAACTGTTATTCGTCGTGACTCCGGTAAAAACATCGTGGCCGCTTTCTAGGGGGAGACAAAAGTACCACGCTAACCAGTTCTCTGCCTAAGTTTCTGCCATAATTTACCCACGTGGGCTGCTTTTCCCCACCTCCAGGCTTCCTGAAAGTAAAGGTTGGTGTGATGTGTGCGGTTGGGTCGGCACCGACCCATAGCTGATCCTCCAGTAGGTTTTCAGAGGCAGTAAATCGCACTGGAGGAGATTGCTTATCCTTCGCCCATGGAGCAGCAGATGTATTTGAACAACTCGCCTTTGGGATTTTAACTGAGCAGGCCCGTGATTGTACCTTCTCAGGACACAGTGAAATCACCCGCGTAGCTTCAATAGCCCAATTTCATCTCCTATCTCTTTTGTTCTGATACTGGCTTGTAGGTTGTATTTTTTGACATTTCCCAAACGACTCTGCCTTTGCATAGTCAATGATGCATAAATAGACAATGTTCTCGTATTCTCTACTTTCAGCCAGGAACCATCTGACATCAGCAATGATGTCCCTGGTGCCACAGCATCTTCTAAATCCTGCTAGAACTTCTGACAGTTCCCTATCACTCACTATGCATCTGAGAGTTGGACAATGAATAGGGATGACAGAAGAAATGTGCCTTTGAGTTGTGGTGTTGGAGAAGAGCACCGAACATTCCATGGACGGCCAAAAGAATAAATATGTCTTGCTTGGAGAGGGTGCAGCCAGAGTACTCTTTGGAGAAAACGATGTTGAGGCTTTGCCTCTCATACTTCAGGCATGTTGCTAGGAGGGTCTGTTCCTTGGAGAGGGATGTGATGCTTGGAAGGGTGGAGGGTTAGCGAAGGAGAGGAAGACCCTCACCAGGTGGATTGACATGGTAACTGCTGCAATGGGCTCTAGTGTGTCAGGAACTGTGAGGATGGTGCAGAATAGGACAGGGTTCAGATCTGCTGTTTATAAGGTCGCTATGAGTCATACTCGACTGAGCAGCACCTCACTATAACAACATGGTGACTCTGAAGTAGGACCTTATGGTAGGATGGAATCTTCCAAGGTTCAGATGAGAAACCGGTTTCAAACTCATCAAATTTATAAATGTAAAGATAACAACTCTGACCGTATGTTGTTGTTGATAGCCTTCAAGTCGAGCACGACGCATAGCGACCCTATGAACAAAAGGCCTGAAGCCCCTCTACAACTATCGACATTTATCAAAGTTCATAGAGTTTCCAGAGGCATGTTGTTTAGGAAGTGGATGCCACTCCTGCTTCCATTCCTGCCATAGAAGTGTTATTGTTGGTGTGTACCATTGAATCACCTGCAATGTATAGTGACCCTGTGTACAGCAGCTCTGAACCCTGCCCTGTCCTGAGCCAGTTGCACTAATTCTGACCATATATTAAGAACTAAAATGATAAAGAATACTTAGGCCACTTCAGTCAGAATCACTGGACGTGAGGCCTGGATTTTTTAAGTCCTCAGGTGATTCTTCTGTGCCGCCGCTATTGAGGTTCACTGGTGTGTGACAGATTAATTCAATGTTGTTCTCCTGGTTGAATTCAAAAGTTAACATTTCACCTTGAAATTAAGAGCAAAAGGGACAGTGGGTTGTGTTGCTTTGTGTTTTGTCCCCCAGACAGATTTCAGCATTAGGCCGAAATTCCAAGTGCTTGTTCCTATTCCTGATCAATTCTCAAACTTCATTGTGCATTCCTTTCACGTGGGTTAAAATGCAGCTTCAGCAGCTCTGAGAAGGGGCCTGCAAGTCTTCCTTCATATCCATTGGGGCCCCAGAAAGTACTGATGCAGCTTGTTCTTGAAACACACCCTGAGTAAGTGCTTAAATATGCTCCGTTACCTCCAAGTGGGTCATATATGCAGCAGAAGAGCCTCCTTGCTGATAAATATCAAGTGGTTTTGATCATGTGCCCCTGTTGAATCAGCTTATTTGCATCCCTTGTTGATTGAGATAGTTGTTGTTGCTATGTGCCGTCAAGTCTTCTGTGACTCATAGTGACCTTATGGACAACAGTCCTAAGCCCTGCTCTATCTTGTGCCAGTCTTACTGTCTCTGACAAACCTACCCACGTTACCCTAGTCACAGAGTCAATCCATCTCCTGAGCTGTCCCTACACCCTCTCCAAGGACTACTCCCTCCTTGCAATGTGTCCAGAGCATGTCAGACAAAGCCTCAGAATCTTTGCCTCCAAGAAGCATCCTGGTTTAACCCTCTCCAGGAATCTGTTAGTTCTCTTAGCAGTCCATGATTGAGATGGAGAATAAATATTTGTTCATGCAAAAATATTGAGGTATAGTTATGCACCAAGCCTTACACTGGTTGTTGTAAGATGAATGCAAAAGAAACACTTAAGTCCCTGTCTTTGTTGGACACTTTGCAGGCCTTGTGTTAAACTCTCCAGCTTTGCTGGTGCTCATTCGTTAGCTTGTTGGCGACATTTGGCTCTTCCCCCAGCCCTCTGCTAGGAATCTCCTGATTCCTTGGACTCCTTATCTGCTTACTCAGTTGCCACTCAGTTGTGCTCCTGAGTTCTCTTACAGACTTGCTCTTCCACTTTGTTAGTTTCCACACTTGCATGCCCACCCCCCAAATCTGTCCCTCCCGCCGTTCTTTGTTCATCAGGAATGTTTGCTCCATCCAGTCCCTGCTGTCAGGTTTCCTTCTCTCAGATCTATCAATAAACTTGGCTGCCGTAAAAAAAAAAAAAGACCCAAGGTATGTTTCCTGCCTGTGAAAATACAGGATGATGCAAATTAAAAGTTGAACAAAAAAGCAAGTGTGGTGGTCTGAAATGGAGCTGAAGGCTTCCGGGTGGTCCCAGAATCTGAACTTGCCAGCAGCTGGGACACAAAAGTTTGAACAATTCTGTAGAACACAGTACACAGAAGAAGAGACCATGTGTGCAGTAAAAGCTTGCCTCTTCCTGGGACTGGGGACAGTCTGCCGTGCCTGGAGTGATGAACTCAGAGCTGAGGTCCACCCGGGGCCCCGGCTCCTCTCTTTAGCCTTAGTGTCTGTCACCAGTGAACCACTTTGCCCCTTTAACTGTAACATGAGTTCACACAGGCACACTACATGTTGATGCTCTGTTTCCTTTTGTTGGCCTGCCCTTTGCTCTCCTTTGGGTTGTTGTTGTGTACCATAGCATCAGAGTGACCCAAAGCTAGCTCTCCAGCAGGTTTTCAGAGGCAGTAAATCACACGAGTATTGATTGCCTTTTTCCTGTGGGGCAGCTGGTGGATTCAAACCCTGTACCTTTGCACTGGCAGTTCTTTACTGCTAAGCTACTCAGGTGCCCTGTTCTTCTTGAGGAACCTATTCTTTTTACTTGCCTGAACCCAAGTGACACAGTGGTTAAGGAATATGGATACTAACCAAACAGTTAATAGTTGAACCTCTGGCTACTCTGCAGGAGAGAGATTAGGTGGTCTGCTTCCATTAAGGAAATAGAGACACGGCCATAGAAACTCTAGAAGGGAGTTCTGCTCTGCCCCGCGGGCCTGCCGTGAATGGCCATAAGCTTTATAGAAACAGGTTTGGTCTTGGCATTCCTCACCTGGCTAACCCCAAGTCTGGTTACTGTGAGCCCCCTTCCCTAAATCTCAAAGATGGGATGATAGCTTTTTTTAACTGAAGTAGCCTAAAAGTACATCTGTGACAGTTTTTACTGTCACAGTATTTTTACTAAGATTAAAATTATTTGACTTGGGTTGGTTTTTTTTTTCCGTTATATACCATAAACTTCTTTCACTCATCTTTTCATTTCCAGCGCATAGCAGAGGCCTTGTTGCTGTGTACCACTGAGTTGGAACTGACTCACAGCTGACCCTCCAGTGGGTTTTCAGAAACAGTTAATCATACAGGAGGAGATTACCCATCCTTCTCCGGTGGAGCAGCTGATGGATTCGAACTGAGTGCCTCTGGGCTTGCAGTGCAGCTTCTTACCACTAGGCCACCAGAACTGTCTAGCAAGCATAGTGCCTAGTACATAGGTAATGCTTAATGTACTGGTAAAGCTTGCAGGTTACTGAGATGTTCATGGTAAATAAACAGATAAGACACTGACATGTGTAAAAACTTACATACAGTTCAGAAGCAACAAGAGGGATAGAACTAACCTCCCAGGGAGCATGACCTTGAAGACCGCAGTTTCTCAAGCAGTGAGAGGATTCAGATGCCGTAGCCAGAGGCCAGGAAGAGCGAGCATTTTTTTGAACAGGAAGAGCTTGGAGTCAGGATGGGAGGCAGGGATATTGTGAAGGGCACTAAATGTCCCTGAGCTGTATCCCTGAGTAGTGTATACTTAACTCCCGCAGATCCTGATCCTGAGAAGAACAATCGTGTTGATCTTTGGGGACACTTGAAAGGCGCTTGCTGCCTCTATATCCTTTTGTTTTAAACAAATGGCTAATATAACCTGTGTGAGGTCCAAACCCTCAGGACAGTAGTTAGAGTTTTCTCTGCTAAATGGGACCTGAAGCGGAACACCATCTGTAACATGGGGATGGTGGGATTATTACATCTAAAGGAGATAGATACTTAAAAGGTTTGAGGTATTATAGCAGTCTGGCTTATGGTATGAAATCAAGAAATAGATCAGAACATAAAAGTGAGTATGTACCAGAAGGGGAGGCATTACAGAAAGGGAAGGAACAGGATTAAGTACTTTGGGGTATAAATTTTTGTGGAAAGGTGCTGCTCGTCTTTTTTCCCTGGAGCAGCTGGTGAATTTGAATGACCGACCCTTGGCTTCACAGCCTGACGTGGCCACCCTGACGCGACACAGTGAGGGCTCATTTAAGACCCTCATCTCTCTCTCACCACCATCTAGTCAGTTCTGAGTGACCCTCCAGTGGGTTCAACTGCTGTAAATCCCATAGGAGGAGATTGCCCCACTTTCTCTCTAGGGGCTCCTGGTGAATTCAGACCTCCAGAGAGGCTCTGCCTTTGGATTGGCAGCACAGCTCACTGTGGACCTCACTGTCAGCACTCCCGATGGCCCTGCCGTTGTTGTTAGGTGCCATCAAGTCAGTTAAAGCTGCAACTCACAGCGATCCCTGTGAACAAGTGAATAGAACCATGGCCTGTCCTGATCTGCCATGTTCGAGCCCATTGTTAAAGTCACTGTGTCAGTGCGCTTGTTGAGGGTCTTCCTCTCTTTCACTGACCCTCTCCCTTTCCCAGCATGATAACCCTTAACAGTATTTACTGTGTAAGTGTCAGGCAGTGTTCTGAGCCCTTGCTGTTTACCCTCATTGATCCTTCATAACACCCTGTGAGGTTGGTACTGTTACTCCATTGTACAGCTAAAGGAACATGAAGCATACGCATTGCTGTCAGATTGAGTCTGAGAGCCTCCATCAGGTTGCTGACACTGTAAATGCCTTTTGGGAAGAGACTGCCCTTCTTTATCCTTCAGAGTAGCTGGTGGATTCAAACTGCTGACCTTTCTTGCTCTGCCTCCAGGGCTCCTTAAGAGCCAGTGCCAGGATACAAATGTGGGCAGTCTAGTTCTAGAATTGAGGTTCTTGTCCACTACTGTCTGCTGACCCTACTGTTGTTGATTGCCGTCGAGTTGAGCACAACTCTTAGCGATCCTATGAACAGAAGGCCTGAAGCCTTTCTATAACTAGCGGCATTTACCAAAGTTCATAGAATTTCCGGAGGCATGTGGTTTGGGATGGGATGCCACGCCTGCATCCACGACCCTACTGTAGCTGCTTAATGTAGACTGACATAAGTGTGGTCTCCCGGTGGAGATTCCTATGATTGAACATACTACCCACGAGGCTCCTATAGGCACCTGCTGGTGCTACTGGAGACAGGCTGAGACCTGATTGGTGGACCAGCCAGGGAGCTGTCCTCAGGAAGACCCTCCCTAGCGACTTTCCCTCCCCTCCCCCCAGCTATGCACTGTGTCTCCACAGTTAACTCAGCTTCACACCATTCCTTGGTCTGCACATAGACATGTTCTTTGTTAGATCCTTCCCTCTCAGATGTCACTATTAACTCATTCTTCTTCACTCTCAGATGTCACTATTACACTCATTCTTCTTCACTCCTGTGAGCTTCATTTTATCTGTTTACTTACTTGGTAACTTCATCTAGCCTTGTGGATAAGCAGCTGCATCATAGGTCTCCTTGATCCGGCTCTAGGTGAAAAGGCAAGGGAGACCATACATTTAAACAGGAAAACACCTCTTTACCATAGGCACAAACACATTCATCTATCAGTCTTGCTGATTAACCCACATTTCACTACTTGCTGCTTATGCTGCTTAGCTCACTTGGTTCACAAAACTCAGAACTTTGTGATGCCTGAAATGTCTGAATCTCAACAAGCAGAATTACTTCCTATAGAGAAATTCCCTAAAATACCCAAAGCACCTACAACTAGATGAATGGGACCTCCCTGTGCACACACAAAAAAAAACCTCCAAAAGGGTAAAAAGGAAACCCACAGACTGGGAAAAAATATTTGGCAATGACATATTTGATAAGGGACTTATATCTAAAATTTATAGACTACTCCAGCACCTCGACAAGAAAAAAGTAACCAACCCAGTTGCAAAATGGGCACAGGCTAGAAATAGACACTTCACCAAAGACAACATTCAATTGGCAAACACACACATGAAGAAATGTTCAGAATCCCTAGCCATCAGACAAGCAAATTAAAAACACCTAAGAGATACCATCTTACCCCAGCAACAATAGCAAAGTTCAACATAGCAGCAAACAATAAATGTTGTTGAATTTGAGGAGAGATTAGAACCTGTATTCACCACTGGTGGGAGTGTAAAATAGTACAACCAGTATGAAAGGTGGTCTGGCACTTTCTCAAAAAGTTGGAAATAAAACTACCATTTGACCAAGCAGTTCCACTACTAGGAGTATACCCTAAAGAATCCTCAGCCGCGACCTGAACAGATATATGCACACCCATGTTTATTGCTGCGTTATTCACAATAGCAAAGAGATGGAAACAACTTAAGTGCCCATCAACAAATGAATGGATAGAAAAACTGTAGTAAATTGACACAATGGAATACTACACAGCACTGAGAAACAAGGAACTCAAAACATTACAAATCATAGCTGATCCTAGAGGACATTATTCTGTCATAGATTAAGACTGACCTGAGGGGTTGGGTTGGGGGAACACTAGGAAAAGGGGATAGATAATGAACACTACTTTGGAACAGATGAAGAAAAGAACTGTTTAAAAGGAATATATGATTAGATGTTTATTTGCGTGATAACAGACCAGAATAAGAGGTGCATTGCAAAGTGGACTAGGGGAGTTGTGGGGTGGGTGGGGGGAGGAAAATGTCCAACAATCAATGAATGAAAATCCAGTTTTTCTGTAAACTTTCATTAAATCACAAAAAGAATCCAAACCATGGATTTAACATCAACTTTAGAAGGCAAAGCAATGTGGATTAGCGAATTCTGTGATTAGGGGATTCTGACAGCAGAACTGTCAGTTTCTTCCATTGTTCCTTCTCCCAGCTGAAGCCTACCACTTTGTCATGACAGAGGCTCATGTGTCCACTGCTGGCAACAGGACAGGCCTGGGTGAATGAGCGGGAGCTCTCAGGGCATAGTCTGTAGTTAATTGTGCTGCTAACCCCAAATTGTGCTAAGTGTGCATATCTCAGGCTGTTAAAAGCCACCAGGGGCTCTGAGGGGAAAAATGGGCAGTGTCCTTCCACTTTATAGTCCCAGACCCCGTAGAGGGTCACTATGATAGAGGACCTTGACATCAGATCTGCCCAATGTAATACGTATCCTAGGCAGCTCTGGAGGCTTAACATAAGGAGGTGTGCTCCCAACCCAGAGGTACACGCTTTACCAGCTGCTCTGTGTGAGAAAGACAGGCTATCTCCTCCCAGGAGATTTATTGCCTCTGAAAGCTCTCAGGATTGTTAGTTATGAGTCAGTTCCAATTGAAGGGACACAGCAAGGATGAATTGGAACCAACCCAATTGCAGTTGGTTCTTTGAGAGGTGACAGGGTTCCTGTGCCTTGACCAAGGTGCTCCTCTGCCAGGAGCCTTCTGTGTGTGGATTGCCTTTCACTTCACCTGATTATCCAGAGCTGAAGATACGAGAAGCAGCCTTCTCTGCAGACTCTGGATGATTTGGGTAGTAGTTAGTCTAGCAGTGGAATGGATGTCAGAAGGCTGATCAGAGGAGTCAGAGGGTCCAGTCCAGGTTCAGAAGTGAAAAGGACGGTACACGCACACAAAATAATAAAAAAAAATTAAAAAAAAAAACAAAAAACAAAAACAGAAGTGAAAAGGAACCCACACTCCAGTAACTGAAGCTTCTGAGATATCCTAACGGCCACACTTAGAATCGGGTCACATAGATTCTCGAAAGTCTCAAAAAACAGACTGAAAGTCCTCTGCAGGTATCTGTGTTTTATAGAACAATGTTTTCCTCCTTCCCTTGCTCTAGGTTCCTGGGGGAGTCACACAGTGCCGTCAGTACAGTGATGCACCTCCATTGACGTTAGAGGGAATCCAGGAACGGGTTCTTTATGTCTTGAAGCTGTATGATAAGATTGACCCAGAAAAGGTAATTGCTGGTGGTTTCATTCCCTCCCTCCCTTCTGCCCACTCCCAGTCCCAGCTCTCATTTTCTTTAAGAATGAATATTTGCTAACTTGATACAAAATTCAAAGGGTTAAAAAGATACTCAGTGAAAGGTGTCCCTGGTTCCTAGCCACCAGGTTCCCCTTTGGGAGGCAGCCAATGTTGTGTATCTTCTCAGTGATATAGATAAGAGCAGATATGTGCACACATAAAGCACACCACATTAAATGTGTACAGTTAGCTACGATTTCTTTATAGATACATATTTGAAAATAAAAGGTTCAGATATAATTACCGAGTTTCACTGGATCGCGTTGTTTGTTAACTCAGGAAACAAGTATTTTCACAGATTAAATTGTCTCTCTTTTTTTTTTCTTACAGCTTTCAGTAAATTCCCATTTTATGAAAGACCTGGGCTTAGACAGTTTGGACCAAGTGGAGATTATCATGGCCATGGAGGATGAATTTGGTAACATATATAAGCTTCATCTTGGATCTGGATGTAGTAAACCTTGGTTTAAGTGGGTCAGTCAGAAAGGCATGCTTAGAGTCTGAAGTGGAATTTAAATCAAACGTTAATAGTAACCTGACCCCAAACCTGGTTACCTTCAAATAACGGGAAATAGGAACAGTGGAGTTACTCATTCAGAAAGTAATACAGGCCCCACAGAGTGCCCACTGTGAAACAGGCTGGATTTCCAGAAGGGGCCTGGGGAATATAGGTCTTCGATCCTTGAAGTAAGTTTCCAAGATGGAGGGTGGAAGCATCAGCTCTAGAAAAGCTGACAACACCTCAGTCTCCCTCCTGAGCTTGGTCTAGATGTCCATGCTTCGAGAACAGGGCATGCTGAGAAGAGGTCACACTGCTTGCAGGCCTTGGTCTCCTGCAGTGCTTCCGGCTTGTTTTAAGGCTGAACTGTTTTGACTAGGAAGCCCAAGAGCTTCCAAGCCGTTCTCAAGAACAGAACTTGGTTACAATTTCTCATAGATTGTGCAGGCTAGAGGGATAGTGTGAAGTGTTCATTGGTTTAAATAGACCAGGTCTGGAATTGGATGCATGGCTTAGCCGTGTATGAGCCTAGGAAAGTAATGGCATCTCTGAAAGCCATTTCCTCACCTGTAAGATAGGGTTGGGAATAGGAACCTTAGAAGTGGACTAGCAGTGGGGGTTGAAGAGAAATTGTGTGTTAAGCATTCAGTACAATGTTTGACCCAAAATTAGCTCTTAATGAATAAATGTTAGGGAGCTCTGGTGGCCTAGTAGCAAGAAGCTGTACTGCAATCCCAAAGGTATGTGGTTCGAATCCACCAGATGCTCTATTGGAGAAGGAAGGGCAACTCCTGTACCCGTCAGATCCGATTTGACGGCACACACACACACACACACACACACACACACACACAGTAAAAAATAAATGTTAACAAACAAAACCCAAACATGGATGATGGAATCATTTCAGAAAGGATAGTAACAATGGTTGTACAACATGAAAAATGCAATCATTGTCATTGAACTGTAGATGCAGAAAATACTGAAGTGGCTAATGTTCTGTTCTATATATATTTTCACCACTGTGTAGATAAATGGTAGTGGTGGTGCGGCCGTGAGGTAGAGTTGGAACTAACCCCTGGCTGACCCTAGGCGCTCACTCTATACATGTATTTACTACAACATGGATGAATCATGAAAGCATGCTAAGTGAAGAAGGCAGATAAAAAAAGGCCACATACTGTATGAATCCATTTGTGTAAAGTCCAAAGCCAGCAAATCCAGAGTCAGAAAACTGATTGATGGCTGCTAGAGTGACTACAGGTGGGGACTAGTTTTTTTGGTGGTGATAAATGTTTTGAAATTTGATACTGGTAATGGCTAAGGACTTTGAAAACATGCTAAAAACCAACTTTTTGTGTGGGGCACTTGGAACTGGTGAGAATGCAAGATGGGACAGCATTGTGGAAAAGAATGTGGTAATTGTTCAATAAACTCAAAATAGAGCTACTGTAGAAGTTGAAAGCGGAAACTCAGAAGAGAGTTGTACATCAGTGTTTGTTGCAGCACTGTTCACAGTAGCCAAAAGGCACAATCTAAATGCCGATCAACAGATGAACTGATCAACTGTGGTACATCCATACAGTGGAATACATCTCACGCAACCAGGAGGAGAAATGAAGACTATAATATGGATGGAATCTGAAGACATTCTGCTTGATAAAATAAGTTGTCAAAGAACAAATATAATGACCTCATTTATATATTTAAAAAACCAACAAAGGCAGATGTGCAGAGATAGCAGTTTATTAGTGGTTAGCAGGGGCAGGAGGAAGTGAAAGAGGCAAGTTAACAGTGATGGAAAATCACATTGATTAAGGCTAGGATGCACAACTGATTATTGTAATTGCTTTCAGTAAGTTATGTTGTTTTTGTTGTTGTTAGGTGCCATCGAGTCGTTTACAACTCATAGCGACCCTATGTACAACAGCCCTAAACCCTGCTCTATCCTGTGCCAATCGCACTGCCTTTGAAACACCCATCCCAATTACCCCAGTCATTGAATCAATCCGTCTCATAGAGGGTCTTCCCCTCTTGCGCCGACCCTCCACCCTCCCAAGCATGATGTCCCTCTCCAAGGATCTGTCCCTCCTTGCAGCATGCCCAAGTATGTCAGACGAAGTCCCAGAATCCTTGCCTCCAAGGAGTAGCTTGGTTTAACCCTCTCCAGGATGAATCTGTTTTCTTGGCAGTCCGTGGTATATTCAATACTCTTCTCCAGTACCACAGCTCAAAGGCATCAATTTTTCTGTCCTCCCTAGTCATTGTCCAACTCTCTGATGCATAACAAGCGATTGCAAAGACCATGGCCTGTATCAGGCGCACATTAGTCTCCAGAGAGACTGTTGCTCTTGAGTACTTTAGAGAGGTCCCTAACAGCAGACTTTCCCATTGCAATACGATTTTTTTATTTCCTGGCTGCTGGTGCCAAGAGTGTTGACCGTGGAGCCGAGCAAACTGAAGCTGTGAACAATCTCAATCTCTTTGCCATCCATCCTGATGCTACCAATTAATTGGTCCAGTGGTGAGAATCTTTGTCTTCTTGACATTGAGCCTCAGTCCATACTGAAGGCTGCAGTCCTTGACCCTCTGCAGCAAGTGCATGAGGTCCTCCTCAGTTTCAGCAAGCAGGGTTGTATCATCTGCATAACGCAGATTGTTAATAGATCTTCCACCAATCCTGACGCCACAGTTCTCCTCATAGAGCCCAGCCTCCTGGATAATCTGCTCTGCATACAGGTTGAAAAGGTATACTCTTGTAAAAAAGTTGAACTGGCAAAAATTGTGTTTATAGCATGAAACAGAAAAAGGGGGGGGCCAAGTAACTGCTGCAATTGCTTATCTACAATCAAATACATACATGTGTGTGTTTAGTTTGGAGGTTTAGAGTATGGCTTTATGGGACAGCTTAGATAATTGACCTAATAATGTTTAGTGCTTCTGTTCTGCCCGCCAGTTTGTGCATAGTGACCTAAGTCTTAATAGCTTGCACAGACATTTAAGCTACAAAAATTGGGTCTGTATTTACTTGTAGCAACAGAAGAGTCAAGAATTGGAGGAGGCAGTGGACTTGTCTCCACGAACAACTGCCTCCTTTGCCATGAGACTAGAAGGACTGGATGGTGCTTCACATTTTGATTAGAGACAGAAGCAAATTCTGTTTAACTGTAGACTTTCTGGACCCATGCAGGATGGATGAATCCCTGAAACCAAAAATGTTCTTTTAAGTCTTTTTGTTTGTTTGTTCCCCCCGCCCCAAGTCTTCTTAAAACGGAATAGTAGTTTAGCTTAGGTTGGAAGAAAACTTTGCTTGGAGCAAAATTTAAGAACTATATATGGGCTTAAATTGACAAAAGCAACTGGAAAGATAGGAACCTTAGGGAGCAGTGAATTTATATTCGTGGGGAACACTTCAGGTAAGTGAGATGAGAGTAGTTGTACAACTCCAAGAAGATACACAGTTTCACTAAAATGTACATGTTGAATTGCTGTATTATGTTGTATATATTCCTATAAGAAAATGATATATCAAGTTTAAAGGGGAAAAAACCAATTGTATACTTTAAAATGATTTGACAGTGTGTATTTTATCTCAAGAAAACTGTCATACTCAGCGTGGTATGCATACTGGGTTTGTGGTTTTTGGGTGGGTTTTGTTTTTTTTTAATTTTAGTATTTTTTTGTGTGTGTGTACTGTCAAATCGGAGCTGACTGGTACAGGGGGAGATTGTCCCTCCTCCAGCAGAGCATCTGGTGGATTCAAACTGTGCATATCAGGGATTGCAGTGCAGCTTCTTGCCTCTAGGCCACTAGAACTCCCTGTGATACGCATATTGTTGAGAACACAACTTAAATGGCATGCAAGACTACTGAATATTTTTATGCGTTTTATGGTTACAGACATACCAGCTGTTTCCAATCCTAAAGGATTTGTTTTTTCTAATATTCACCCCCTTGTATATTTTTCTTGCAGGGTTTGAAATTCCTGATATAGATGCAGAAAAATTAATGTGTCCACAAGAAATTGTAGATTACATTGCAGATAAGAAGGATGTGTATGAATAGAATATAAGGTAAGCAATTTCAGTTCTGGAAATATTTCTCTACAGAGTTAATCTGGTCTTTAATAAAAACAAAGACTCAAAGAGATGAAAATACATTACTGATTTTCACTAGCTTTAAAATATGCCTCTCCTGATTTCAGAAGGGCTGACTCAGTTGATCCCTCTGCTTCTCGAGAGGTTAAGACTAGTTCTTCCCAAGAGAGCCGTGGTGGCCTAGTGGCAAGAAGCTGCATTGCAATCCCAGAGGTCCACGGTTCAAATCCACCACAAGCTCTGCTGGCAAAAGGGGGGAAATCTCCTCTGGTACCAGTCAGATCCAATTTGACAGTACACACACACACACACACAATAATTAAAAAAAAAAAAATTAAAAGAATAGTTCATCCCAAAAAAAAAAAAAGGGGGTGAGCTCTGGTGGCCTAGTGGCAAGAAGCTGCACTGCAGTCTCAGAAGTACATGGTTCAGTTCCACCAGATGCTCTGCTGGAGGAGGGACAATCTCCTCCTTTACCAGTCAGATCTGATCTGACAGTCCACACACAAAAATAATTTAAAAAAAAAAAGTTCATCCCCATACAGGACACCCCTGATTGTCAGCTCTCCTCATAAAGAGTGTGGAGCACAATGCTGAGCAGGGTGACGTGAGAACATGGACCTCTGCCTCTGTTACACACGCAAGGCAAAGCCAGCTGGCTGTCCAGGAAGCTGAACTGAGCTGAGTTGGCAGGAGAGGCCTCCTGAATACAGGATGGACCCTGGAGCCCCAGATATCTGTGTTTTATTCAGCAGTTACTTGGTTGAGCTTGATGTTCTTGGATAGCTGTTTGGTAAGCAGCAGTTTCCTCACGTAAAACAGAAGTAATGATAGACTCTACCAGTGTCTGCAACATACAATGCAGAAGCCTCTCAATAAATGTTAGCTATTGTTAGTTTCTAGAATAACCAAGTAGGATTTCTCTGTAACATTTAGTGTAAGTGTAGCTACACATGAAGGATGGACTGAACTGATTGTGTCTTTCTCAGGCCACCTCTCTTCCCTGAGAGAAGACTCCAATGACTCTGGCGAGCGTCCAGAAGTGAGAAGGCCTGTTAGCATCATTGCCCACTTGGACGGAGTAATTCTGTTCAACTTGTATTTAAATTGTCTAAGTGTTTTGTTCTTTGACAATAAATCTATAAGACTAACATTTTCTAAATCTTCAGTTTTTCCGTGATCTCTATAAAATGCCTTTTTATATTGACATTCCTTAATAATAATTTTCAAGATGTCTGACCTGCCATTAGTATTTGTATATATATTTATTGTTTTGGGTGTTTTTTTTTGTTGTTGTTTTTTGCACTGAGGTGATTACAACTACTGTTACAAAACATGTGGCTAAATTGTTGAGTAAGAAACTCATTTGCTCTGTAAACTTTACTGAAGCTATTGGTTATTGATGTGTTTTAAAAGCTAGAAACAAATAACAGTCCAACAACCTCACTTCTAGGAACAGAATTTATGTTTATATATTTTTATAGCAGTGTTATTTCAAGTAAGCTGCTCTTTCCCCTCCTCCTTCACTGTAAGAAATGAACGTGTCAGTGATAAAAGGACTTCCCCCACCCCAAAAAATATTTTTGGTTCTCTTCAGTCAGATAGTGGAGCTGAGATGGAACTAGTTTTTCATTCCTGCCCCAAGTCTCCTTTCCAGATAGCAGAACTGAATAGTTGAGGCAGCTAGGTCTCTTTCTTCTCAATGGATGAGCAGTGTGACATTGTGTCCTGCACAGGTCAGTATTTGTGCAGCCCTTTTCCTTCTTAGTACTGTGTTAGAGCCTTGAGGTTAATGAGGAAGACAGTGTGCATGGAGCATCCTTTGTGAATGAACCTTGAATGAGATTTTGTTTTAGAGACATGCCACATGTTATTTTTATATAACTCCAGGCTGAAGGAGGAAGGGGAATAAAGCCTCATCAAGTAAGGAATCATGTCCTAGAGGCAGAGGGACTGAGCTGAAGTGACCCTCAGCCAGCTGAGAATCTCAAGTTGAGGCACACTCTCTTCCACTTCCTTCAAGAACCCAGTGTTGCTACTGTCTGTCACTATGGAATCAGGTGTTCTGTGTGAATTAGGTGGAAGTTCCCCTCTTTTCAGTAATCAGGAAGCATTCATTGTTCCCCTGGACCTTGTTTCATTTTCAGTATTTAACAGTATCTTAGGAAACTGCCAAATTGGAACAGAAGAATCAACCTCATTACTTTTTCCAGTTGCATTTATTTAACACATAGTTTGCATGCCTGTTAGTCATTGTCAACACAACAGATAACCAAACAGACCCCATGTGATTCCGTAGACTGAAAACTAGTTTTTGACTGTGGTTAAACAGGTCACTGAGACCAAGTCACAGAGGAGGGCCTGACAATCTGGTCAAAGTCCCTGTGGGCAGTGAGAACCACCACAGGATTTCTTCAGGGAGAGACATGGCCCCTTGCATTTGAGATTTACTCTGGTGGTAGACAGGGTGGCGTGAAGGGGATAGACCATGTGGCTCCTAGAATAGAGCAGTCACAGGAGTGACTCTTTGGGGATAAAGAATGGGCTCAAAACATTGTGGGGATAGAAATGGCAGATTCTGAACAGATAAGACTAGGATTTCTCATGAATTGTGGGTTTGGGCTACTGGTACTTGGTAAACCGTTGTCTAAATTAGGTAATAGAGGAAAGAATGGTTTAGGGAAGACTCAGTCTGAGATGTTTGGATTAGAGGTGTTTGTGGGAGTGTGAAGCAAGCAGTAAGAGCTGGAGGGGTCAGGAATGATGTAAACGCTTCTTCATTCCCGCTGGCTGTTTCCATTTCCTGATGCCCACTGGGAAGCTGCCCTCCTCATTCTGATGCACGATTCATGTAGGAATGACTGCTCCCTGCGCTCCAGGGATGGACCTTTATGTGTTATTAAGCCACAACTGAATTCTTCCTTTGGGGACAGATGGCACAGGAACAGGACTGAGACTGACCTGCTACTTTACATTTCTTTATTCCATGCATGTTTTTAATATTTTAACTTTAACAAGAAATGGTAGCCCTTAAAATTTATAAGGGTCAAAGTTGGTTTGTGTTTTTTTAAAAGGCAAAATAGCAACACAAAACAAACCCCCTATAAGCACAAGTTGTTGCCATGAAGGCATAGTTTCTTTGGCTCGAAGATAAACTAAAAATAGGCCCTGAAGTTGTTTTCAAATTAACTAATAGTTTTAACTAGCAAAAAAAAAGCCTGCCCTGAGCTCTTAAATACCATTTGTGTGTGGGTCAAACAGCAACTCTACAGAGAGGAAATGGGGCAGTGAGTCTGTTAATGAAGAACTTGGAGGAGAGTGAGACTGCTTATACTACTTGAAATCCGTGCCACTAAACTCTGCATGTACGAAGTGCTGGACAGGCGTCTGTTTTGCTGTGTATATCCCCAGCAGTTGTGCTGCCCAGTAATATGAGGCACATCTCTGTCTACGTCGTCTAGACTGGATTTGTCACCAACCAAGACAGTGCTGAGTCACGGGCCCCTGGAATCTCTCAGCAAGGATCCTGCTGCCTTGGGTGGGTGACAGCACTGAGAAAATGAGGGAAGAGCCAATGTGTTCTGCTGAGAAGGGTAATTGAGAACAGAACATTTAAGAACACTTCAAATTAAGGAAGAGAAAGAGCAGGGCCAGTGGGAGAGCTGGTGGGTCAAAAACCAGCTATGGCAAACTATCACTCTTCACACCAAGCTCTTGACATTTTGTGATATTGTTGGTAAGAGATTTTCCCTCTCTTCCTGGGTCTTGAGAACCTGTAGCTAGAGTTGTAACTGTTATATTACATATGTCCAGAGGCTGACTGGCTGGGTTTCCCGGAATACCAGTCAGAGGTGCAGGCTGAGCAGAGAGGGTGGCAACTCAAGTTTGATACTTTGAATATGAAGTAAAAAAACCCAATCCCTTTATTCAGTCTTCAAGCGGGAATGAATATCGGGACCAGCCCCACACCCACAGGCTGATTCTATGGAGCAGAACTGCCCCATGGGGGTCTCGAGGCTGTCATCTTGACTCCTTTATTAAGTGCACATAGTGTTGTAAGTTTTAAAAAAATATATAGGATAGCCAATGAAAAAAACTTAAGCCAAGGTTCACAAGCCCAAGTTATTTCCATTAAGACAGAGTTACGGTTGTGGACTCCCACTTCTTTCCTGTGGGGTGACCGCGTTTGACCTTCTGACCTATCCGTTAGTAGCTGCTCACTTATTCATGGGGCTCCTCAAAAATGAATACACTTAACGCCAAATAAGGAGTTCTGATGGCTTTGTGGTTAAAGCATTCAGCAAAGCACAAAGTTAGTGCTTCACACCCCCAGCCACTAAGCAGAAGACGAGGCAGTGCGTAAAGCTCTGCAGCCGTGGGAACGTGACAGAGCAGGCCGACCTGCTACAGGGTCATCTCTGCCTTGGAAATGACTCCGTGACAGTGGATTTGAGTTAAGGCCAAATCAGTAACACAGTGGTAACCAGAGCTAACAAAATGATCCTTCTGGCTCCAGTTCCAAATATTGTCAATCCCCAGTATTGAGCAGGTATGTGAAGAATTGGAGAGAAAAAAGAAAAGAAGAAAAAAAAAAGAAAAAGACGCAATTAATTATCAAACTTTAATTGATAGACTAATCTTACAGGATAAACAGTAATACAGCTAGTCAAGGTTACACTTCAGAAAACAGAGAATCCAGCAGCAAAAATCTAATAAACTAAATACGTTCATCTCCTCCCAAACAGGCATTTGATATAAAAACAAAAAACCAGAACAGAGCATATACACCACAAGGAAACATGATAGTTACATATATTGTCTAGTAATTCTGCAGAACTCTTGTATGGAAATAAAAGGGATTCTTAGAAATTTAGAAAGCAGTAGAGACCCCCAGCCTGGCAGGTAAGTCTAGCAGATGTTCTGCATAGTAGAAAGCTCCTGACCACCTGTAACTGCAGGAAACTACCAGGCCCGATTACAAAGGAAACGGAGGCCAGTTCTAACTAGAGAGGACTTATCTCACAAGGCCGTAATGCAAGGGGTCATCCTTTTCCAAGACAATTAACAGGCATGGACAGAGCAAGAGAAAGGGGTCTCCCTCAGAAGATGGGGTAGAAAGCAAGCCTGCCCTTGCACGGCCCTTGGCACACATGATCCACCCCTAGCTCCCTTCTCCACCCCTGCAGAGCAAGGGTGGGCCAAGTGCAAGGGCCTGGAAGGCTCCTCCAGGCACATGGTTAAAGCAAGAGGAAGAGGAAAACAAGCCCCTTCTGGCTGAGATACGGCAACTTGTCAGGGACGTGGCGACACGGCAAAGATCATTTCTTTGGCCCTTAGGAAATAAAGCAGCAACTAAGGAGCCTGTGGAGGGACTCGCCTGGGCCCCTCCCATGTCCACAAGATTCTAAGAAAGTGCATCCTTAGTTCAATTAAACTTCATTTAAAAAGAGCTAACACTATTTGCAAAGGGCCCATCAGTAATTAACATACTTACTCCCAAAGAGTTCCAGCAACCTGAGACTGGCTTCTCCAAGTTCTCTGAGACAGAGCTCAGCAGAGAACATGTCCTTGTTCTGCCAAGTCACCTCAGGGAAGGGGGTGAAAGGCATGACATAGAGAGCAAGGACCTGCAGGAGGATCGATCACAGGGCAAGTTCTATGAGAGAGGCCCAAAGAGGTGTCAACCGCGGAGACGTCAAGCCCACAGGCCCTCCTGCAATCCCAGTGCACATCTATGTGCCTCTGCTCCTATAGCCACCTGCAAGCCTCTACCCTCTTGACAAACTGAAGAGGAGACAGTGGATATAATGTACAGAAATACTCTGGTGTAGAAGGAAGGTGAGTAAACACTGTTAACGCTACCCAAGGGGAAAGAGTGTTTCCATTTGTTTACACAGATTTAGTCAGTATATTCCGGACTGTAAGAAAAATACAGAGACCAGTCCCGGACAGCACAACAACTAATGAACACGGCTGTGACCCAGACATGGGGACCCCGAGGGGAAGGCTTTCCCCCAGTGGCATCTGGTGCCACCTTCCTTGGCTCTCCCAGGAGGAGCCTGCTCTCAAGAGCTCCTGGCAAGGTCTTCCATGCAAACAGGGTCAGGAACCAGAGCTCAAGATTGCGTGAGCTCCATAAAAAGCAATACTCAAAACAGCTCTGTACGAAAAGGTGTCATTTACATTAATGTTTATATAAGAAGATATTGAAGTTAAGGAAAAAAGCACCATTTTACGTAAAAGAAAAAAAAAAGGCTCACACAGGCTTTGGTCCTGTCTTGAAATGACATCAGTCTGGGGAGTGGGGACGCGCACGCCCTCGCCAGGTGAGGAGGATGTCGGAGGGCGCAGCTGCTTGAGCAAGGCTCAAGCGTCTGAAAGCAGGGCTGAGCCAGGTCGGGAAGGCGAGGCCTACTAGGGGAGGACATCGGGGGGTGCAGCCCCACCAGGATGGCTCTCGAGGACAGGAAGGTTGGCAAACACAACGGGCAGTATGTGAACGGTGATGGCGCATTGCCTGCTGCGTGACTGACTGCCACCCGCAGAGGGTCGCGCTGGCACTGACAAGCACAAAGCATCTTCTCCAGGGACTGCAGGCCCACAAGGACAGGAGGATGGGGTGGTCACTGGTCCTTTTCCAAGGGTCATGAGGAAAGGGACACTGGAGGGGGATGCTGTGCTTCACATAGGTACTTGTTTCCAAATAAAAGCAAGTTTCTCCTGCCCAGATGCAGCACTTGGCACCAGCCGCACCATGAGGAGCTGGAGCCTGCCTGTGTGGGCTGGATTCCTGGGCTACAGCTTACAAGGGAAGTGTATGGAGTATCACCGTTAACTCGCTCACTAGGAGTAGTCATCTGAGGAGAACACATGCGAATACATTTCACAGAGAAGAGCGTCAACAGCCTAGAATCCAAAATGTGACGTCTGGGAGATCACTCACCCACCCTTACTACGACAGCCTTCAACCAGGGAGAGAAGTGCCAGGACAGCGGCAGAGAAACTGCAAGGAGCAGAGATTGTCGTCCCCAGAGACCGACTCATGTCAGGGTCAGCCAGGCCAGCGGGAGACCACAGAAGCTCGCATGTGCCAGGAAGAAAACAACTAAAACCAGGAGGTGGTGGCTGAGTTATGAAGCAATTTCTCCCATTGTCACGGCTGAAATACATGAGCCAACCCACCAGACCACGTGTCTTACAGAGAAAGGCAGCATCTCTGAGCCTGGGATGAAGGACACTTGAACTGAATGCATGAGCAAAAAGACCAAGCGGAGAAGCACAACTGAAGAAATCATTGGACTGCTTAAGAATTTCTTGAAAATAGCCAAAGAAATCTTGAAGGGAGGTGGGTCTGTGGCTATCTGGCTGGGTCAACTATCTTCTTCTGACTCCGAGAAGCCTTCGTCTGCCAGGCCAGGCTGGGCCTTGAAGCTAAACTGGTGAGCCCTGCAGACAACCAGGATGCCCACAGTGACTCCTCAGAGCGTAGAGCCCGACGGCGGGTGTTCAGACAGCAGCCACTCAGAGACAAGACGCTGCTGCCCACCAAATGCCACAGCAAGGGTGCCAGCTCCCTGACCCGAGCTGGAAGCCATCCTTCCGTACCCACCGTGGTGAGGGCGCCCAGGATGAGGTATGACTGACATCTTTGGGTTTTTAAAACAAAACTCAAATCTAAGAAGTGGGAATGGAAGGAAGGGAAAGAATTAAAACTCAACCAATGGAGAGAAAAATATGGCTTGCTAGCACTTCCCCCCCCCCCCAGTTTGCATACAATTATACAAGGAAAAATATGGGAAAGAAAATACCCCAACTTATCATATCGCAGTCCAAATATTAGCAACCAAAGAACAGTATGAAAATATTTCCATTGAAATCACTTAAAAAAAAACAAAACAACTCAGAAAGCTTTGGATCATTCCTTTCTAAACAAAATTGGTAGATCTACTCTCAAACATACTTAAGAGTATTCCACACAACGTGTTCAGAATTCAGATTTATTGATTTCCACCACAACGACTTTAAAAATGGTATGAAGCTGACTGCAAGAAAGGGAATCGGTGATTTAAGTTAAAATTAAGCTAATGGTGAAAGTACATCACCTCTGGCTTCGGTCACCACTTCACCTTAGATCGGATATAGATTTTTTTTTTCTTTCTTTTAAAAAAAAAACCAAAGTTCCAGAACTCTGAAATCCAGGGATGCTGCAGGCCACTCCCAGCAATGTCCTTCACTTTGGGTCGGTCTCCTGGGCCAGAGGTGAAAGTGCTTTCAAAAATACTGCCATTTCCCCAGCACAGTGTCCTTGATTGCATCCACATATTGAGTTGGAACCCAGTACACCCAGTAGTAAGAGGCTTCCGTGGGGCCCAATTGAAACGCCTGAAAGGGAAAAAGGAAACCAAACGGTACTTCAGAGGTCAGGGGACATCAGGCCGCAGCACCTTGGACTTGGGAGGGAAGCAGAGGGCTCAGGGGAGGGGCTGGGATGAGAGGAGGGGATGGGAGAGGAGGGGTGGATGCAACAGGAAGGGAAGCAACACCACCCTGCATGTGGAGAGTGTTCTAACATCAGAAAAGGATAAGGCGGTGGGAAAAAGGGGGAATAAGAACACAGCCCACCCCTAACCAATGCTTCCTAGATGTGAGGTTGTCTCAGAATCTAGGGAGTTTGTGAAAATACCAACTGCAGGGACCCACCCCTGAGAGTTTGAGTCAGTGGGTCCAGGGCCCAAGAATGTGCATCTCTAACAAGTTTCCAGGTGCTGCTGTCATCCTGCTCCAGAAAGCAGCGTTTGAGAACTGCTGAGGGAGCTGGTTGTCACACACACATGCGGAACCAGATGTGAAGGGATGTTCAGAACAAGACTGTCAGGAATGATAAAACCTGGAGACAATCCGCATATCCAGCAGTAAAGGAATGCAGTTAAGGGTCGCAGTCTCTCCATATGTATGAGGTTACTCTCAAAAGAACTGGATCTATACATAAATGGGGGCAAATCTAAACGCTCAACCAAAAATTAAAAAAAGGCAAGCTGCAGAGCAAAGGATACTATGGTGTCAACTAAAAAAATACCCAAACAAATCCCAACACACACACACACACACACACACACACACTCACTCACTATATCCACTAAACAATACTCTTTCTTCTTCATGAATACACACACACACACACACACACACACAGATGGAAGGATGCTTATTAAACTTATGATAATGGGGAAAATATGGGAAGTCATTGTACATAAATTTTATATAGTAAAAATTAAAAAAAAAAACACCACCCACCCCACTTGTGTTTTTTTTTTACCCCACTTGTTTTTACAGCTGTCACTTCTTGCTGATGACTATTTCTTAACAGTTCTATGCATTATTTCCCCTCCTTTTCTGTTGTCAGTAAAGGTAAGAAATGGCACCTGCAAGAAGTGGGAAGGACGGATTCTGGTTATAGGACAAAGACAAGAGTGGTTCTTATCGGTACTAGAAGTGAACAGAGGACTCAAAGGATCACCACTCTGCCACAAAAAATTCCAGACAGAAAGGAACAACTACACTAAACACTAAGTCCCTGCCACTTAAATCATTCCCTACTTAAAATCCCTTACTTGGTTCACTCTATCTCTTTAAAATCCCCATTACCTGGCTGCTTGAAAATGGGCATTACAAACCTCGTTCAAGGTCAAACTAGTGACAACTGTTTCAAAAGGGAGAGAGAACCCAGCTGAAAAGTTCCAAATCCAATTATTAAAATGGAGGGGGGATATCATCCCAAAACTGTGCATACAAAAAAGCATATTCATGGAGAACCCTTGTTTTTAAAGACCACACAGAGCCAAGGGCGGCAAGACTGTGAGAAGGCCTGAAGAGGACCCAGTGGCACCCCTGTTTGAAAAGCAGAACACTCTGGGGCCAATGCTGCCCTACCACAGTAACCACCACAGCAGGGCAGGGTGGCACGTGCCACTGGCTTGCTGGTCAACCAAAACTTGGGTTCTTCTGATTTTTCCTATAGTAGAACTTCCACCTGCCCAAAGGGGAACCTTCCAGCATATCCCTCTACTATGGACCTTGAGTGGTTCCCTTCCTGGGGATGCAGTCTACGTGGCTACATCCACTTTGGCTGCCACCTCCTAAAACGGGGACTGGTAGAGAAGCCCCTGTCCTTGTCCCACCATAGCAAACGGGTGTTTAGGTAACTAAAATGTACTCTGGAGGCAGACCTTCCAGTGCTGGGAAAGAGAAGGGATTTCTATAAAGAGCTCATTTCTCCTGATTCTTGGGTTCTGTAGACATGGGAAGGCGTCCTATCATCCTATCTCAGGAAAGACAGCGGACAAGTAGCTGCTTTCTTCAGAGGGCTCTGCAATGGGCACACCCCAGACTGTCCTCCCAGGGGGTCACCAAACACGATCATCGCGGCCTGGGAAGAGGGCCATGCAGAGCAGGGGATTCCTCAAGTCCCCACAAACACCAAGGCTGGGGAAGGTAAGGACTGCAAATGTACGACAAAACTTTAAATAAAAATCCAGACGCCATTCCTCCTCTTTCCATTTATTTTCCTGGTCCAAAACCAACCATTACACATAAAAGGGAAGCAAAAGATTTCTTAAAAAAAAGGAAAAACCTCTTCCCTTTAAAGTGCTGGAAGCAGGGGCTGCAAAAGAAGTAGTACCTGGAATGGGGTCATGGTTCGAGCTCTAAGGAGATGAAGAAAAACGGAAGGGTCTTGAAGCAGCGTGACTGCCGAAGATTGACTTAATGAAAAGTTCAGTGAGAAATCCACTCCCAGAAAGAAACAGCAGAAGCATGGATCTAGTGAGGGGCTGGGCCGCCCGCACTACTTACCATCATGTGGTAGTCTTCGTGTCCTTCGATAGGTTCACTGACCACATTTTTAATGGAGCCCATGGGCAATTTTTCAGTCCGCTCTAAGTTGAGAGGGATTACAGTGATTATTGAAAGGCTTGTGACTCTGTAGTCCCTCATCGGGGCTGGGGCTGTGGGGTCTACAAGTCCCGGAAGTCTTGTCCGTGAGGGACACTGGGGCAGGATCTCCTTTCTCATCACTGACCTAAACCTGCATAGGAGTTGGGAGCTTCTTGGGAACAAACAGGGAGGAGGGCAAACTGGTGTTCCACTGGCTCTCTCAGAACAAAATAATAGTTTTTCTGGTCTTGGTCTTTAAGTTGGGTCAAGAACTTCCCTGAAATTCCTTTCAGCACTGACTAAAATTCTGGGCATGTGGGCTAGGCCCAGTCAAGAGGGCCAAAAACAAAGAGTCAAAGGCCTCGAGAAGAGACGAGTTTCTACCCCTCGAGCTTGTGCACCTGCCCCTACTCCATCCACCCTCCCTGGCCCTTTGGTCCCACACCCCATCCATGCACACCATTCTTTAAGAACTTCTGATAAACGTGAGATACTGCTTATCACACGGGGCCAAAGACATTTGCAGCAACTTGAAGAATGGCAGGTAAGAAAGAGGAGGCAGCAAGGAAGGCTGAGAGTGAGCCGGGAGTGCTAGAGGTGAGCCACGTACAGCAGGGCCAGGGAGTGTAGAGGGTTCCAGAAGCCCTGCCCCGCCCTGCCCCGCCCCACCCCACCCAGAAGGACGGGACTGCCTGGAAGGAGCAGAGACCTCCCGGCCAGAAGGCTGTCGGCAGCAAATCCATCAATTTGGAAAAACATTACAGCCTTTACAGAAAGAAAAATCTGAAAAAAGCAGAAGTTGAAAAACAGGTTCAAAAAATAAATAGGAATTTAGAGACCTGGGGTCTCCACCAGCCTAGCCGGTGTCCTGAGGCGTCACTTCCATCAACAGACCTTTTAATAACGGGGGGTGGGAGGGCACAGGACCGGAAGCTGTTCTTTCAGGTTCTGAGTGTTCATGGGTTTGCGCAGCCTCAGATGGAGGGTCGCTGAGAGTCCGGACAGAGGAAGGTGTGGAATCCCTGACCAGTAGCTTGTCTTTAAAGATGGAAACTTAAAAATGCCCATCATCTTGGAAATGTCTGCAGCTGTTACAAAAAAACCTAATTTCTGGCTTCCCTTGAAAACAGATTTAACTGCCCTGGGCCCACATTTCCTAAATGACAGTGATCAGCTAGACTAGACTCCATTGTCTCCTATAAATGGAGTGAAGGTCTGGCTCCCCACACAGGCAGCAGCAGCTTCCTCATTTGTGAGACCTGTCTAGAGTTTACATTCTTCATCTGTGTGCCTGAGGCTGTTAGACGTCTAAACTGTGAGGAGTTTGGCTTGAGGCGGACTCACTGCTGAATCACCCCCTCAGAAGGCCAAGATGCTGCAGAAAGATAAAGCTAGCCGCTGGTAACCACCCCCTGAACACACGGTCCCTCCGTGGGGTGCTGATGATACTCAAGAGCCAGCGCCCCTACGTGTGTGAGGGGAATGGCTGCCCCCACCAGCTCCTCACAGACGAGGTACAGTGGTCTTGCGAGCAGATTCAAACATCAAGCATGTAAAGCTCAGTCAACTTCTGAACACAAGGCCCTCATCTTAAGGAGGCTAATGAATAAAGCTGCTTCTAATAGCTCTGAAGCCCCAACATATCACAATTCTCCATAAGGTCTGCCTTTAGGTCAAAACAGAAAGGTGGTTCTCGCACGTGCTGAAATGAAATGTGCAAAGCAGCTAAAGGGTCTCATCTTCAGCTGTGCATTTTCCTACAGAACCTCTTAACATGAAACTCTTCACAACCACCGACGACAGACAGTCTTCTTTCAGATGCCTGTCCTTCCCCTGACACTACATCTATCCTCCTGGTCATCAGTGCCCTTCTGGGTCACTCTCAGTAAGTACCTATGAGGAGACTGCCCACAGGTAAAATGAGAAGTCAGCAAGAAGCAGCATTTCGGCAAGGCAATGCAATGATGGAGAAGGAACAAGCTTTTTGGGAAGCTCTGTCAAAGGCAGGGCAGCTAAAAACCAAAGAGCTGAGGCAAAGGAGATGATGTGTGACAGGCCCTGCAGACAGAATCGTCTGCCGGGCAGAGGGGTCAAAGGTTCCTGGAAAAAAGGGGGAGGCCCTTCAACATTCTGCAAAACTCATTTTGACCATGCAGTTAGTGTCAAAGGGGAAATGAAAAATAATAGCAAGATCCCATAGAATTGTTAGAAAAACTAAGCACTTTGGCCTTTCCTTTAAATGACTCTGCTCACTGAAGAACTGACGCAGGGCTGAAGATCACTTCTGGTCCATGCTTTAGACGAAACAGTGTCACTCTCCACCACCCCTGCCCTGATTATTTTCCATAAAACTCTGGTCCCATTCCACATCACTGTGGACTAAACGGCCTCTCGCTCTGAAGCCAGTTAACCACCACCGACGGGACCCCCTATACTTCTCTGTAGCATTTACCTCGCACACTGAATACCTACAGTGCTGGCCACAAACAGGTGAATTAGGCATGTTCCGTTCCCTCCAGGAATCTGACGGGGACAGACAAGTCAGAGAGTAATGAGTGCTCTGAGGGGGTGATGGGGTGCCCTATGAAAAGTAGCAGCAGCAGCAATTCATTTAGAGGGTGGGAGGGTCACCACAAGGAAGGATTCGCTCATTAGGAAAGGACGTTGAAGTAGCACCCTGGAAGATTTTTTTTTTAATAACAAGGAATGGGAAGAAGGCATTCTGGGTCCTGAAGGGCTCAGGATGAGCAAAGACAGAGCTGTGCAAAGCATTCTGAAGACTTCAAGGAGCAATGTGCATGAAATAAACAGGGCGCAACCAGGCAAGCAGGGGAGGAAGCCAGGGGAAAACCTAAACTGGGGCCCCAAGGCTGAGAACTGAACACTCAGTTTAGGCATTTCAACTTGGCTGCAGAGAAATAAACGTTTCTGGGTACAGGAACCAGTGACAAAAAAACAGTGCGGCAGATGGGTAGGACAGATAGGAACATGGAGGGGCAAAGAAAAAGGTGACCTAGCTTCCCACAGGCCACGTTTAAAGACACTGGGAGCCCTCAGGAGCCCAACATGAAGGCAAAGAGAGAGACACAGACAACCCAGGAGTGTAACTGCTGACTGAGCCTTTCCAGCTGACAACGGGAGTGGCAGGGAGGGCAGTGAAGAAGCACTTCCCAGCAAGCCTGATCAGAAAGGGGCGGGGCAGGGCAGGCAAAGGGCCACCAGGCAGAGAAGACAGAAGGCCAGGGTCCTAGGCGGCGGGAAGGAAAACTGTGCTTAGCATAGGGTCAAACTCTGACCTACAGCGGCTAGACAGGTGACAGGAGTGAAGCAGGCTACGTTAAGATGGACAGGAGCAGTGGAGACTGTAGCATGGCCCACCTGAGACCACTCTTCAGCCCTAGCCGATCACTGCCACATGAGAACGTAGGCCTGAAGCGGCCAGAACTTTTATCTGTTTTTCAAGAGAAGCCACCCCCCCCAAAAAAAAACACCAACCAAAAAAACCCAAAACAAAACAAATAAAAAAACCTCAAACCCCAAACAAACAAATAAAACCAAAAAACCCTAGTTATGTGAAATTTCCCAATCTTGTTCATAAGCCCATGAAACCCTGACCGGTGGACCAGGCAAGGATCCTGGACCACATGGGTGGGGCCTGTAACTCTGCATCTAGGGACTCAATGTCTGATGGATGGACACTGAAAGTACATTAGGAAGAACGAGGGCCAAGGGTCCAAACAAAAGCCAAGCGCCTAAAAGCAAAATCAAAAGCCAGAAGCATGCGAAGAGTACAGTGAGGAGAGAGTTTGCAGAATGATGGCTGGAACTGCCCCAGAGTGGGTGCCTCCTGCGGACGGGAGGTGAGCAGAGTGCTGATGAATGTACCTTTAGTGCCAATCCACAGCTGGTCTTGTTCAAGCTTAAAGGTGAGCCTCACTTTCCCTCCAGACTTATTGTACATGCCAGATAAGGGTACTGTTGGCAGGCGCTCCTGGAGACACAAGGGCATAGTGGTGAGAGAGGGGGCCTGGCACAGAGCAAAATGGGCAAAGAAGAAACGAGATGTGAGGGCCTCTTTCCAGCAACCTCAGAGAGCTGGGCTGTTTCCCATTCAGAGCACCACAGGGGGCCTGGCTTACCTGGGCACCCTTGACCGAAGGCATCACATCTTCAGGTTTTCCTTTATCCAACACTTTCCTGTGTTGCTACAACACAAGTCAGAAGACATGAAATAAGCCAGCTGGCTACACATTAGTTAAATTACTATCTCTCCAGAAGAGAGAATGAAGAAACCCTTAGTGTTCTGGCTCAAAAGCCTTTTTATGTCTCTAGATTAGTCTTGTGACTCTATAAAGCAGTGCTGTCTGACAGCACCTGCAAGGCTGGGAATGTCCCGGTCTATGCCAATTGAAAAGATGACACCACTACCCACAAGTGACTACCGAGTATGCAAAAGGTGGCCCACTGTACCAAGGAATGGAAGGCTTGATTTTATTCAGTGTCTAGAGAAAAAAAAAATTTCAGATTGCTAATTGAAATAAAGCAACTCCCTCACCAAATCACCAAAAGACTGACCATCAAGCTAAAGAGAGCCATCGAGGGTGTACTTATGAGGCAAGGACAAAATGTCAATGCCCAGGAAAAGCTACAATGATGCTGGCTATCAGCCCTACATGACCTTTCCAAAAGATACTTAGTCTAGAACCTCACTGCCCACAACCTGACCCCAGCTGGACAGGAAGCCACCGATGGAGCCACAGTCCCAAAGAATACTGATTACTTCACAGCCTGACATTATACTCAGTGTTTTAAGCGTCTTCCTCCAGGTTCCCTTAAAGAGATGACTTGGCTGGCCTAAACCCTTAAATTTTGTTTCCTTTGTCTTTATAGGTGGAGTCACTGCTTGGTGAAGCCTAAGCTACAGGGCAATGAGTGGACAGAGGACATAAACAAATTATCTTCAGCGGCAAGTGGCTACAAGCCAGTTCGATTGCTTGCTGCATAGCAGAAACCCCCTGGTAGGAATGGGCTCCACACTGCAGACTAGCAACAGAGGTGCAACATGCAGGTCAACCTATAGATTAGCAGGAAATTTCGGAAGCAGCTCAAAAATCGGCCAGGGATTTGGATCTCTTTCATAACTAGCATCAGTGAAGTGAAGAAGCATGGGCTTGAAGCACTGAGTCACACCTTATAAGTACTTCTAAAAAATTGTCCTCGTACTCTGAAAACATTTCTAGGCCTGTTAAGCTACCATTAGTAACTCAAAACCTGTATTTAAAAGGCATCTTTATGGTCAAAGGGTGTGGCCAGTGGGAATACCGTCTCACATCTGACATGCTTGTGGTTGATTATAGCAAACGCAGGTAAGAGGAAGACAGGAAAATATACATTTGGGGTTGAAATAACCAAACAAATAACTTTTTAGATGCCAATGTAAGTTTATGTGTCCTTACCTAAGCCCCACATGTACACGAATTTTTTCATTCAAAATTCTAATGTTTTTATAAAAGACAGTTTAAAAAAACAAAAATATTAATTTAAAAAAGCATATATATTATACCTTTCTTATGGGATCTGTGTTATGGAACACATGTTCCAATTTCTCTAGCAAAACAGTATCAGTTACGTGAATTGTTGCAAAGAATGTGTGCTTCTCCAGATAGTGACCACAGGCTCCAGGGGCCCTCCATGTTCATTAAAGCTCATGGTAGTCCAAGGATGCCCTCTACTCAGGACCTAAGTTAAAGAGCGAATATCTGTTTTCTTGGAATGGGACCAAGAACAGCTACCAGGCCACATAGCAACAAGTGGGGTTTGCTATGAGTGCTGGCCACCAGTGATGATCCTAACTTTCCTGGTTACAAAAGTGTGTGAATGGTTCTGATGAACATAGACAAGGCTGCGTCTCTTCTACCCAAAATGAGCCACAGGAGTGTGGGAAACTACTCTTCCATTTCATGAGCCAGGAGACTGAAAGACGACAAAGAAAAAATCAGTGTATTTAACCCTCCCAGGAGCTTCCTGTGGTTTCTGAAAGGGTCAGTTTTAGAGGAACCTCTGAGAGCTGCGATCTCCCTGTTTACTCAGAACTGGGGGAAATTGCAGCCAAAAGCAAACTTACACATTTAGGCAAAATAGGGGACTAACTCTCAGAATGGTCTTTTTATTTTGACACTGAATAGGAGAAACCAACTGAATTAGATATCAAAATCGGGTTCCTTTCTATGTCAGGCCTGAAACCTGCCTTCCAAAGGCCTTATCCTAAAGTAGGTAGACTTGAGACACACTGACCCGCCAGATGAGACAAAGTTGCAAATCTCAGGTAGTTGTCACCTCCACTCAACAGCCAGCCGCAACCAACTGCTGCCATAAATTTCCATCATGGGCCCTGTCCAAAAAGGAGCTTATTCTAGGGACAATGTAGCCAGCCAAGGCTCCAGAGGACAAAGCCTCACACTCGCCTGGAGCAACAATCACAAAGGACTTACTTTCTGTCTGCAGAGAGGCTCCTTCTTGTTTTCTTCGGCCTTGGAGTCCTGCTGGGCAGCATCTTTGGGCGTGTTTACGGCTAGGACATCATTTATCGTGGAGCCAACCACCATGATCTTGGCCCCACTGGTCACTTTTATCTCTCTCAGTGTCTTATCCTCAGGGACAAGGCCCTTATACATGACTTTCTGCATGGCAGGCGGGAGACCTTGGGAAAAGGCAGAAGGCAGTGAAGGAAAAGAACATTAAACGTATGCAGATCAGAGTCCTTTGGCTCCTGACCAGGTAGAAAATACTTTAGCATTCATGAGCAAGTGAGCACCTCCAAACTCCAAACTTCCAACTCCAAACCTGAGCTTCAGAGGAAGCTCAGGTTCCAAATGTCATAATACAGACGATAACCACCAGTTACAGATTAATCAATTCAACTCCTGATGCCCCATGTGAGTCAAAGCAGAACAGCTGCCCATAGGGTTTTCAAAGCCTAGTTTTCGGAAGTATATTTCTAGGCTCTTCTGAGGCCAACGCTGAGTGGAACTGAACTGTCAACCATTTGGTTAAAAGCCAAGTACTTAACCATTTGTGACACCAGGAATTCCCACTGCAATGATAGTAGATCCTTATGTACTGGCTTATTATAAGGATTAAAACATATGCCACTGTAGACCACTTAGTGTAACAAGTGGTACACAGGCAGTTCCCAGATTCTTACAAACATCAGACTTAAAGTCGAACATCAGACTTAAAGTCAATCTAGGAACAAAGCCCACCTGGGCTTTTATTTTATACCCATTTGTCATCACTTTGAAAGGACTGAACCAATCCTGATCTGCTACTCTCAACAAATTCATGACCGTGACGTCACCTTCTCTTACTGCACAAGCAGCTTTAAAATTCTTGAAAAGTTTCAAGTATTTTCTTGTCCTGAAGTAAAGTTAAACAAAAACTGTATGCACCTATTCCAATTTAGCTACAAGTCCTTAAACGCACAGCTTGGGATGGATCTTGCTCAACCTGGGACTACTTGTAATAACTGTTCAGTAAATATTAGCTACCATTCATTTGCCAACACTCCTCTTTCTTGCTTTTGAAACACTGTGTCCCATTGTCTGTTTGAAGGACTCCCTCTTGGTTGATGTGCAAGTTTATCAGGAGCACACTTAAAGCGTTCTGGAATGCCCTCTCTTCCAACTGTTATAATCCAGAGTTGGATGCCTCTCCATAGTCAATAAAACAGCTTTCCGGCATTTTCAGCCACGAACCACCTGACATCGGCAATGATATGGTTTAATATTAAGAAAGGTAATCATCCTATCCTCATACTTATTCAATCTGTATGCCAAGAAAATAATCTGAGAATGGGTACTACCTGAAAAACATGGCATCAAGATTATACAAGAATCATCAACAATGTACAATATGTATATAATCCAACCCTAATTGTTGAAAGTGAAGAAAACATGAAGCACTTACTGGGGAAACTCAGACTACAGCTTTCAGGGTGGGTTACATGTCAACATCAAGAAATCCGCACAACTGGACCAATAAACAACATCATGACACACACAGACAGGACTGAAGTTGTCCAGGATCTCATTTTACTTGAGCCTACAATAATCAATGTTTGTGAAAGCAGCCGTCAAAAAAAAAAAAAAATCAAATGAGCAGTGCAATGGGCAAATCCAAGGAAGACTCCCTTGAGGTGTAAAAGGTCACTCTGAGGACAAAGGAATTCCTGCCCTAAGCCATGGTGTATTCCATCACCTCATAGGCACGTAGGACACTCTGGTGACTTAGTGGTAAGGACCTGCACTGCTAACTCAAAGGGATGCAGTTCAAATCCACCAGCTGCTCCTCAGGAAAAAGATGGGCCACGTCCTCCCTTGGGCCACGGAGAACTTGCTGGAGGGTCGACAATAGGAGCCCAACACACAGCAGCGTATGCATGGAAAGCTGGACAACGACTTGATGGTTTTGAATTATAGCACTGGTGGAGAACACGGAATGTAGATGCCTGAAGGACATCTGTCTTGGAAAAAAATACAGCTAGAAGTTCCTTAGAAACAAGGATGGTAGGGGAGCTCTGGCGGCCTAGTGGCAAGGAGCTGCAACTACAATCCCAGAGGTGCAAGGTTTGAATCCACCAGATGCTCTGCCGGGGAAGGTGGGACAATCTTCTCCAGTCAGATCTGATTTGACGGTACACTCACACAAAAATAATAAAATAAAAATTAAAAAAAAAAAAAAAAGAAAGAAACAAGGATGGTGGGACTTCAATCCAAGTACTTTGGACATATTATCAGAAGGGACTGGTACTCACAGAAGGACATTATGTTTGGTCCGCGAAACAAGAGGATCCAGATGGATTGGCCGCGTGGAGGCCACAATGGGCCCTAACACAGCTCCAATTGTGAGGACCATGCCAGGGCAAGCTGCGTCTCGTTCAGCTGTACACAGGGTCACTCTGCGTTAGAACCAATCCAAGGGCCCTAATACCACCGTTCATTTGGAGTTAATCAGTCTTTTAGTTACTCACGTATTGGTAATGGACATGATCGGGGCCACAGAAAGCAAAAAACAGCAAAATTCCTGGTCCCCGGGGGTCTTACACACCATGTGGCTTTAAAAGACAAAAAAGTGCAGAAGGCAAAGTGCAGAAATAAGCTAAAAATTCATTTTAAGTATCTGTGATGGGACTAACACAATGGCGAAGAACATAACTCCCTAAAGGGCAATTTCTAATCACATCAAAGCCTCACTTAGTCAGAATCTCCAGGAAAAACGGGCCTGGAAGCTATTTCTCCAACAAGGGCCTAAAGCGATTGCAGTGCATGTGCTTGGGCGACACCCCTTAGGAGATCGGGGCGAAGGCTCAGTGGTGGGCTGGATTCCCAGCTCAGCGACCACCTGGCTCCACAATCGTGGTCACATTCCCCATGCGAACCCTGGCCATGCTAGTACTTACCTCCAAGGGATTAGGGGACCGAAGCGAGGAGGCCAGCTCGCTCCCAGGCGCTATGGAAGCACAAGAAACCCGGAGGGGGTGGGGAGGCTGGCTGTCAGCGCCACGGCGATTGATTACCTGTAATCGAGTGAATCTTCTGCTTCAGTTCCGAGCCGGTACTGTCTAGGGGGAACTTGACGTCGTGCTTGGTCTTGTTCCAGATGATCTTCAAGTCCACCAGCTCCCTGCCGGCGCCACCGCCCGCGTCCTCGCCGTTGCTGACCGAGGCCTGCGCGCCGGGGTCCCCGGGGGGCTGGGCAGGCGCCGGCTGCAGGCTGCTTCGCGCAGCGCACGAGTCCTCGGCGGCCGCCGCCGCCCCCGCCGCGGACTTGGCCTCCACGCAGTTGAGAGGCCGCGCGGGCGCCTCGCCCGCCGCCGTCTCGGCCTCCGTGTCCATGCCAGGTTCCTCCATGCCTGCAAACGGGTTAAGGGGTGGGCGCTCGCCGCGGCCTGGGCCGGAGACTAGATCCTGCCCGATCTCCGCCGAACCACCGCACCCGGGGCAGGCCGCTCCCTCCCGGGCGAGGTGGCATCATCCCACCGAAGCGCCCGCTTCACCTCGGCCCTACCTGAGCGCCCGCTCCCCTCTCCACACTCACCATCCGGGGCTCCAGCTGCCGCCATGATGATTGTGTACAACACCTACTGCTCCCGCAGAGGTCGCCGGGAAAAGGCGAGCTAGCTGAGATTGGCCCCCGCAGTAGCCCCTAATCTCGCACAGCCTGGCCGGAAACAAGTGGAGGTTTCTATGGAGACCCGCCTCCTCCGCTTCCCAGGCCAGCCCCTGCCACGCTTTAGCTTTCCTGGACGAGAGGGCGGGTCCGGGAGATCTCCTGCTCCAAGGGCTCCGGCCCCCTTGCGGCCGAGTACAGCGCCAGTCTCCAGGGGGGCGTGAGCGCTAAAGTGTGGACTGTAACTTTAAGGAGAGGCGGGGAAATGTGGTCGCTGTGGCGGAAGCGGATTGGCTGGGAGGAGTACCCGGAAGTGATGCACAAAGAAACCCACGTGCGTGCGTTCCACCGACATGGCTGTGCTTCTGAAGAGGTTGCTGCGGCCCGTGACTTCCCCGGCGATCTTGGGCCGCCCCGTGGGACTGCGTGAGGCCAGCCTGGGTATTGATCCCGGGGCCCCGGTGCGAGTGCGCTTCGCCCCAAGCCCCACAGGTAAACTGGCGGACGTGACGCCCCGTCCCCGCCCCCAGAATCTCCCCAAGTATATCCGGTCTGCTGGACACTGACTGGCGGGCTAGGAGACGCTGATTATATAGATACAGAAAGTGAGGCCCATGGGTGGAACTCTTTTCGCGTTGCCAGATTTTTTGTGTGTTCTTATCATTCTGTATCATTTCTTTCGGTTGGTCTGTCTAGTGTGTCTGAGCAACAAACTGCCCTACACTAGAAAGCAGGGATGTGGCTCCTTTTTTTAGGAAGCCACGTTTGTTTGAGCCCCGAAAACATGTACAAAAAGAAAGGTGATTCTGGAGGGGAACGTGTGCAGTTCAGGGAACCAAGCGGAATTAGGTGTTAAGATTAAGATGCCTAGGAGAGCTTTGCTGGAAAGGTGGTGACATCAAAGGTGAATGACTGATAAAGGAGCGAGTTCTGAGCGGGAAACTTTTAGGAGGAACCTGGGGAGGAGAGTACAGGTACAAAGGCACTCTGAATGTCAGCGTTTAGCCAGCCAGGAGTATGAACGCAGAGGCTAGAAAGTAAAGCCAAAGCAGTGCTTCTCATTGAGTTCCCCAAATTCTTTTCTGCCGGGAGACCATTTGCTCACTCTGCAGGACTCCTGAGCCCAGAGCCACAATAAATAAAAGTTTCCTTACGCCCTCGCCTGTCCTCAGCTGCACAAGGGAGATGGAGTTTTTATTGCCAGTTAGTATATTATAGCGCCGTGCTGCTCATGATGTTACTGAACGCAAGGGGTTCTTTCCATAGTCAGTCGCCAGCAAGACAAACGGAATGTAATATCCATAAACGCACTTTATTACAGATCTGTGGAGGGCAGTAGGTCCTGGCCTCAAAGACTGCCTCTCCGTCTGGGAGTGGTCATATCCTTATATACTGGGGTGAAACTCCAGCTCATTGAACAATGCACTTTTGTTAGTGAAAAAGGTAATTTCTACATCTGAAAAGGACAGTTCCTATCAATGTATCAGTAATTGAGGAAGGCCCCAGTTATCTTCCTGATAAACAGACAGATTAAGATAAGATTACTATGACTGGAGAACCAGCTTTCCCCGCATATAGGATAGATGCATTTCCTCTTCTGGTAAACAGATTAAACTACGCTACATGACTAAAGACAGGAAACAGAGATTTCAGAGGCTAAGCAATTAGTTTTGCAGGCTGAAGAAAAAGAACTATAGTTTTATAACTGATACCTATATAGAGAATTCTGAACTTAATAATACTACTTTATAATTGATGCCTATGTAGAGAATTCTGAACTTATTAATACCACCCTATCGAGAATTCTGAACTTATTAATACCACCCTATCATCCCCCTCTCTTTTTATATAAGTCTTATAAGACAAACATCAACACTGTCAGTTTTTGTACCTGTGGAGCACTTGCAATGTTTGCAGACCCACAATGCAATTCACACCACAGTTTGAATAGCAGACAGCACTTGTGTAGAAACGGGGGTTAAATCCTAGGATCCTCTTGATTTCAAATTTCCGGTTTTACTGTTTCCAGTTGTGTAATTTGGGCAAATTGCTTAACCTCTCTGAGACTCAGTTTTACCATCTGTCAAATAGGGTTAATAATAATAGTTCGTCCCTTGCGGAATTGATATAAGGCAATTAATTAGTCAAGGCTGGCACACAGAAACCACTTATTAAACAGGATCTTTCTTATTACAGTGGCTATTCTTATTTCCTTGCTGATTTGCAGGAAAAGCCAGTGAGGGGAATGCTGCTGACTGTTAGAAGAAATATCAAAAAAAGATACAGATAGATGAAATGAAGTTGACATTCTGTGCCACCAGGTCTGTCCTGAGTCATGGTGACCCCATAGGCTTGGCAAAGCTGTAAGTCTTTACAGGAGCTGATTCTCTCCATTTTCTCCTGCTGATTGGTTGGTGGGTGTTTGCACTGCTGACCTTTTGCTTAACAGCCCAACACTTAACCCACTGCAGCACTAGGGCTCTTGGATAAATGTATTGCTGTTAGGTGATGTCGAGTTGGAATTGAGACAGCTGACCCTCAAGTGGGTTTTAGAGACTAAATTGTGTGGGAGGAGATTAATCATGTTTCTCCCTCAGAGCAGCTGGCGAATTCAAACTGCTTCTCTTTGGATTGGCAGCACAATTCCTTAATCACTAGGCCACCAGAGCTTTTCAGTTTGTATGTGGAATAAATCATCTGGGATGTGGGGCTCTATGAGGAGGAATGTGGCATCAGGATTGGAGGAAGGCTCATCAACAACCTGCACTATGCCGATGACACATGCTTGCTTGCTGAAACTAAGGAGAATTTACTGTAGAAGGGCAAGAACTGCATTCTTCAAAGTGGATTGAAACTCAATATCAAGAAAATAAAGATTCTCACCACTAGGCTAATTTGCAGCATCATGATAGACAGTGAAGAGATTGAGATTGTTAACAGCTTCAGTTTGCTTGGTTCCACAGTCAGCACTTGGTACCAGCAGCCAGGAAATCAAAAGATGAATTGTGGCGAGCTCTGGTGGCCTAGTGGCAGGAAGTTGTGCTGTAATCCCAGAGGTACGTGGTTCAGATCCACCAGGTGCTCTGCTGGAGGAGGGACAATCTCCTCCTGTACCAGTCAGATCCGATTTGACAGTATGTTCCATGGACTGCCAAGAAAACAAACAGATCCATCCTAGAGAGGGTTAAACCAGGCTACTCCTTGTAGGCAAGGATTCTGGGGCTTCGTCTGACATACTTTGGACATGTTGTAAGGAGAGACAGGTCGTTGGAGAGGGACATCGTGCTTGGTAGGGTAGAGGGACAGCACAGGAGGGAAAGACCCTCTATGAGGTGGATTGATTCAGTGACTGGGGTAATCGGGATGGGTGTGTCAGGCAATGCTGTTTGGCACAGGATAGAGCATGGTTTAGGGCTGTTGTACATAGGGTCGCTATGAGTCGCAAAGGACTTGATGGCACATAACAACAACAACAATAAAAAAAGATGAATTACATTAGGAAAGTCGGCTGTCAGGAACCTCATCAGAGTACTGAAGAGCAGTGATGTCAGTTTCAAGAGTTAGGTGCCTCTGATCCAGTCTATAGTCTTTGCAATTGCTCGCTCTATGTCAGAAAGCTGGACAAGACTAGGCATGACAGTTTTGATGCCTTTGAGTTATGCTGAACATGCCATGGACTGCTAGGAGAACAAACAGGTTCGTCCTGGAGAGGGTAAAACCAAGCTGCTCTGCTCCTTGGAGGCAAGGATTCTGAAGCTTTGTCTGACATGCTTTGGACATGTTACAAGGAGGGATCAGTCCTTAGAGAGGGACCTCATGCTTGGGAGGGTGGAGGGACAGCGCAGGAGAGGAAGACCTTGGATGAGATGAATTGACTCAGTGACTGGGGTAATGAGGATGTGTTAGAGATGACGAGGTTTGCTCAGGATGTTGTAGGCTTCAGAGCTGTTGTACATAGCAAGCGACTCGATGAAACTTACTATCAGTTACATGCATTGGTCAGCCTTAAAACAACCCCCCTAAAGAATAATTCTGAGCAAGTTTAGTGCTATAAAAATGACATCTTGTGATCAGAGGATGTTGTTCCTTATTGTCTAGTTTGCTTTTGGTCATGATGACCTTATGAATAACATCACTTGTCATGATTTGTGGTATGTTTGAGGACATTGGAGTGACTCTTGACCTCGATCTATTTCGTTGAGGATTTACCTTGGTTTTTGTTGACCTTTTAGGGAACTCCGATGGCCTACTGGGTAAGGAGTTGCCCTGCAAGTCTAAAGGCCGCTGGTGCAGGAGAAAGATGAGCAGTCTTTTCCATGTTATTTACAGCCTCTGAAAACGTGCTGGAGGGTCAACTGTGAGTCAGTTCTGACTTGATGACAATGAGTGGGTTGAGACTTCAACCTTTTATAGCAAATTGTGAGCCATACGGTTTTCAGTGACATTTTTGGAAGTAGATCTCAGGCTTTTCTTGAAGCTCTGCTGAACCTTGTCCACCATGGGTGACCCTACTGGTTGGTATTTGAAATACCAATACTTAGCCTCCAGCGTCACAACAACATGTAATGACAGATGGTGGTGGGCCCAAAAAGTAGCAAGTAGTTGTTTGTTGTTATTGTTGTTATGTGCCATCGAGTCGCTTGCAACTCATAGCGACCCTATGTATAAGAGCTCTAAATGCTGTTCTATCCTGTGCCAACCTAGCCATCTCAAATGCACTTATTCCTACCACTCCAGTCACAGAATTGATCCATCTCATCAAAGGTCTTCCTCTCCTTCGCCGCCCCTCCACTCTCCCAAATATGATGTCCCGCTCTAAGGACCAGTCCCTCCTTGCAACATTCCCAAAATATGTCAGACGAAGCTTCAGAATCCTTGACTCCAGGGAACACTCTGGCTTCACCCTCTCCAGGACAAACCTGTTTGTTTTCCTAGCAGTCCATGGTATATTCAACACTCGTCTCCACCACAGCTCAAAGACATCAATCCTCTTTCTACCAATCCTATTCACTGTCCAACTCTCTGATGCATAGCACGTAATTGCGAAGACTATAGCCTGGATCAGGTGCACCTTAGTTAGTCTCCAGCCTGACTTTGTTGCTCTTCAGTACTCTTAAGAGGTCCCTCACAGCCGCCTTTCCCAATGCAATTCGTCTCCTGATTTCCTGGCTGTTGTTACCAAGAGTGTTGACTGTGGAGCCAAGTAAATTAAAACTGTTAACTATCTCAATCTCTTC